CTCGCCGCTCTGTAGGTTTCAGATGTTCAAAATTTATATTTGAACCAATGGATTATCACTTAGTTGCAGCAATTAGTTATTCCTCATTGTTAAACGCCTAGCTGCTCTTCGCTAACTATAATGCCAATTTCTAACTGAACTTCCCTTCTTTCAATTTTTAAGTTCAAAAAATAAAATATATTTGTGGAATGCAAACTGCGAAAAAGTTAACAGTCACTCTTTTTCTTTTTTTACCAACAAAAAAGAAAAGAATTACCTCTTTTTTTTTTAAATTTTTTTTTGCATTTTTTGCACAGGAAGTTATGCGGAACAGTATAATTAATCACTCTACCAGTTTTGAGTCAAATTAAATAAATTACATTTATTCAGTTTAATTGACAATTATTAAAGTGACACATCATAAAATCAAATTTATTGGTATATAACCAAAAAAACGAGGACAGTGATAATTATAGTTTTGAAATAAAGTTTAAAAGAATTTATATTTTAAAAATAAAACAAGAGCTGTTGCAAATTTCTGGGTCTTTTTAACCGTTTGTAAATGACAAGAAAATTACTGAGAGAAGGATGTTAAATAGATTATATATTAAACCAAAGCAATGTCTCTGTTTGATAAGCTCTATCAAAGCCCGTTTTCATCACTAAAGAGATCTTAACACATTTTGGAAATAACAGTGATAAAGAAATAAATCGCCGCAGCAATGGTAGTTTGGTAGATCAAGTATTCTGTTGTCATGGTGGGATATCGCAGTAGATGGTGTCGAGAGATGCAATTCGTCAAATCTAGACGCCTATTTATTTGATGAAAACTCCTCTACTGAAAACCCTTTTGACGGCTGACTTACTGTGGGCAGATCCAAGTCGAGAAGATCCACCTTTTGGTTTGTCAGATAAATTTTAGTCTTTTTTTTTTTGTAAAGATCAAATCAGTTGTCACTTATTACCAAGTTATTGCTTCAAACGAAGGTGAGTAACAGATTTTGCACGCTCCGTAGAATATATGGTTCTGTGCTGATAAAAATTTTCAAGTACATACTTATTCTTCGGGAAAATCAATAATATAAGTGTATTAGCTTAGTCGGTGTTTTAATAGCAACTCAATTTCGCAGGCTATACGGTGAAAGTCGTCGCCATGTGTCACACGTTTTCTCTGAAACTGCCTTACGTGTTGCTCTTCGTAACGTTGGGTTCAGCATTCTTATACGAGGCCATGAACTTGTTTGGAATGGTATATCGTGGGAATTCAAGGGACGGTGTTATACCGTACATACAACTACGAGGAGTATTTTGATACCGACTAGAGCGTCATTAATAAGTCTAAAAAAGCTGCGGGGTACTCGCAGATTGCATATTGATACAGTAAACAATCCCTTAGATGCAACTGCACTCAATATTCTTAATAAAGCGTGGTGTATTCAGCTGTGGTTCTACTTCTGGTCGCAGTTTAAACAAGATCAAGCGACTGAGCTCGATCAGCACGCAGATGAAAAACTGTTAGAGGCCTACTGTTTGCCTCCAAAATTAGAAGGTCGCCGTTTTATCAATTACACAGACCTATGTTTATGAGTTTTTGCTCATGCTTTAAATGCCGTTCAGTCTTTGCGCTACTTCTCTGAAGCTTCTTATCCGTTCAAAAATATTGCCAGCTTTGCCAGAAACTTTTCTATTATAATTGATATTGTTTTCGATAATGGTAAAAGCTTTCAAATACATTTAAGTTCAATGGAAGACGTCGCTCTACAGAAGGTAGGTTTTGCAGTGATTTGGTGAAGTGCAAAAATTAGGTTTGAGAAGTCAAAGTCTACCACAGACAAAAATTTGCTTTATTTATGAAATTTCAAACAAATGTTTGTGTAGTGCTCTTTGGTATTACAGAATCTTTAACTGCAGATAAATATCTGAGAAAAAATAACAATTTCTTCAAAAGTTTGTCAAAGTCTATACTGTAACTTCATTGTAGATAACAAATAGTAACAGTCTTGAACCGATACCGCTAGAAGATTAGCCAGATGTTAAGTTTTATCTTGGAGAACAACGAATTGACAGTAAGAGCAAATAAATTCACTAAATTATGAGCAATTTTTTTTTCTTTTTTTTGATGGAAAGAGACAAGTATGTTACCAAGATTTTTATTAATAATAAATCTCAAATGCGTTACTTTGAATTATATTTGTATAAATTTTTATAGTTAGTAAATTCTTCATTTTAAAATGAAACACTACCACAGAATGTTTACATTAAAAAAGAAAAAAAAAATAAAAAAAACAAAACGAGAAACAAAAATTTAGTTTATCAAAATTTTTTCTGAATAAATAATGTTGCTAATTTTGCAAACAGCTTCTCGATTATCACGATTACTCAAAAAAAAAAAAAGTGATGCTTAGTGTTCTAAATGCTTAAACCAAAACTTTACATGAAAAAAATATTTGTTTGCTTATGCTATTATTTTATGATATAATTATGCCATTTTTATTTGCTCTTTAAAAACTGTAAGTTTACTTATTAACCACTCAAAAAATTTTTTTCTTTAGTAACTGTTAAAAGCACAAATTCTTTTTTCTTTTAAAAAATTATAGAACACTGATAGCAGTGTTTATACAGTAAAATCATTTGCATATTTAGTTAATTATTTATAGAAGAAAAATTTTTGTCATGCAATTAAAAGGATACATTGTCGTCTTATTTGTGTTATATCTGATTTTTCCTACAAACACTGTATAGAATAGTAACAGCAGAGTCAGTTTGCTTTGTCATATACTACTAATTATCTCAAATATTACTATTAAACTGTTGCCATATAATTTTTACAGTTTACATTTGCCAGTTTTTGGAACACTGATTCCTGTTTTACTGATGATATTCTGTCATTCTCGTATCGATAGGTCGCTAGAAGAAAAGTGTGACTATTTCTTATTATTGTTTTTTATTTGTTCTATTAAACTGCAACATTCCTCTACTCATTACAGATGTTTGTTGCAACGTTTTTAATAAGCACAAAAACATCTATTTATTTGAAAGCAAACCATCAAATTACAAAAAAAAAAAAACAAAAAAAAGTAATTGAATAAAACAAAAAAAAAAAGCACTTGTCCATGACTGGTAATTCTATTAAACTAAAATTGAAAGACGTCTAATTTGTTACAGGAGTATTCAGGAAAGAGTAGTAAGTATCAATGATTTTTAGCCTTAATGTAAAATTTATATCGACAGTGTATTTTTTTGTTTTTTTTTTGTTTATCTATAAGCGTTTT